GATATCCAGAATTTACAAAGAACTCAAACAGATTTACAGGAAAAAAACAAACAAGCCCATTCAAAAGTGGGCAAAGGATATGAACAGACACTTTATGAAAGAAGACATATATGAGGCCAACAATCATGTGAAAAAATGCTCATCGTCACTGGTCATCAGAGAGAAGCAAATCAAAACCACAATGAGATACCATCTCACGCCAGTTAGAATGGCGATCATTAAAAAATCTGGAGACAACAGATGCTGGAGAGGATGTGGAGAAAAAGGAACACTTTTACACTGTTGGTGGGAGTGTAAATTACTTCAATCATTGTGGAAGACAGTGTGGCGATTCCTCAAGGCCTTAGAAATAGAAATTCCATTTGACCCAGCAATCCCATTACTGGGTATATATCCAAAAGACTATAAATCGTTCTACTATAAGGACACATGTACACGAATGTTCATTGCAGCACTGTTTACAATAGCAAAGACCTGGAATCAACCCAAATGCCCATTGATAATAGACTGGATTGGAAAAATGTGGCACATATACACCATGGAATATTATGCAACAATCAGAAATGATGAGTTTGTGTCGTTTGTAGGGACATGGATGAATCTGGAGAACATCATCCTCAGCAAACTGACACAGAACAGAAAATGAAACACCGCATTTTCTCACTCATAGGTGGGTGATGACAAATGAGAACACATGGACACAGAAAGGGGAGTACTAAACACTGGGGTCTATTGGGGGGAAAAGGGGAGGGCCAGTGGGAGGGGGAGGTGGGGAGGGATAGCCTGGGGAGAAATACCAAATGTGGGTGAAGGGGAAAAGGAAAGCAAAGCACACTGCCATGTGTGTACCTACACAACTGTCTTGCATGCTCTGCTCATGTACCCCAAAACCTAAAATCCAATAAAAATTAAAAAAAAAAAAATATATATATATATATATATATGAAGAAAAAAAAAAAAGAAGTGATTATGTTGCCATTTCCATGTAAGTAATTGACAGCAAGCTGGCATTTATTTTAGTATGCTACATATAAGAAAGTTTTATAATAGAAAACTATAGGCTAGGTTCAATTATTGCTAATGAAAATAGATTAGCAATCTAAAGGTTTGCCCATTTAAAATACTGTTACTTTCTTCAAATAAGAGATTATTTTATGTTAGCTTTTGCTAAATTTGTCTGGATATGATGGAATAGATTCATGACAGATTTACATAACTTAAACAAATATGATTGTGAATTTTTCTTCCAGTGGCAATATGAGACGGTAAAGAGCTCTATGAATCCAATGGGAGATCTGAGTGTTCAACTGATTTTCTCATATTTGCCTAGCCTATATTCATGCCCGTTGTGGGTTTTTTCAGAAAATATGAGAGGCAAAAACTTACCTTTATAGATAGTGAATGTCTGGGGATATGAGGGAAAGCAGTTACTTTTAACATTAAATATTTCTAGTCCTTATAATATATTAAAGCACATTAGTAGGAGAACTTCAGGTCTCCTGAGTATCCTCAAAATCTTCCCAATCATGATTGGAAAAACATCTGAAATGTATATATTTTTAAATTCACCAAATGTGCCTGATTTAAATAAACATGAACTATTAGAATTATATATCATATAATGATTTTGCTCTTCATTTGATTTTGGTAATAACATTAAAGGGTTTTCAGTTAAGGGAGGCCAGGGTATAATATACTTATGTTATTTTTTATGTTAATCAATATTTTATTCTCACAGGAAAATCTCTTCTATTTCATGTCTAAGCTTCATTTTTTCATACTTAAATTTGCCAACTTTAAAAAGATTAACATTAAATATAAATATAAAACAGTTTTCACCATAAATGTTCTCCAAGACTAATATCATCATAAAATAAACTTCAGACTGTAATTATCACCCACAAGAAAAAGTTACAAAGAAATTACTAAATACATGTCTACTAATATCAATATCAGGATAAAATGGAAACCCAATATGGTGAAGTTTGGTAGAAACAAAAAAAGTCTCTATTTTAAGGCTTAAGTAAAGCCATTTTTAAGTTGACTTTTTTTTTCTAATTAAAATAATTTTAATTAAACATTTAAAATTATTAATGTTAAAAGAATTAAATGTACTATTACTTGCTTCCTTTAAAGGTCTACCTCACTGACAATTATGTTTCTACAAACTGATTTTTCTTCAAGAAGTTTAGAAGAGAGTTTTTTCTTTCACTAGATCAGAAAAGAATCACAGGTAAAATGTCCCTATAAACCAGACGATTTACAGGGATAACCACTAATGGTTTGCATTGCTTGTTCTTCATTAACTTTTTTCTTTCTTTTTACAATGTTATTTATTTATTTATTTATTCATTTATTTATTTTTGAGACAGAGTTTCACTCTGTTGCCCAGGCTCGAGTACAGGGGCAGAATCTTGACTCATTGTAGCCTCTGCCTCCTGGGTTCAAGCAATTCTTATGCTTCACCCTTCTGAGTAGCTGGGATTACAGGTATGCACCACCACGCCTGGCTAATTTTTAATATTTTTTAGTAGAGATGGGGTTTAGCTATGTTGGCTAGGCTGGTCTCCCACTCCTAACCTCAAATAATATGCCTGCTTCGGCCTCCCAAAGTGCTGGGATTACAGGTGTGCTACTGGGACTGGACAATTAACTTTTTTTCCTTGAAGATGAAACTAATGAAGTGATATCTTTTGTTGTTGTTGTTTTCAGAGGTATGGTTGAAAAGTATTTTCCACATTTGGGTTTGTTTGCTCTGTCTTACTGTTGTTAAGTTTTTAAAAATTCATGATAGACAATTGGGGGTATTTAAAAATTATAAATATTTTAGTGTTGTCATCATAGATACCAAATTGGGAAATAATTATATTGTATAAATACTTTCAGGGTGAGTTAGGTTTTCATAGGATAAACAGTTATAGATTTTCATATATAATATTTTTAAAAGTATTATCTCTCAGGTGCATGTAGTGAGGCTGATGTTATGCTCTCTGGGTCATACTATTTGAGATATTCATCTGTACTTTAAAGAATCCTGTGATTTCACTCTATTTTCATTTGGCTCTTGAGTCATAGGCATTGCAGTGTCTTAGACAGGCATCATCTCTACTAAGCCAGTGACAGCCTCAGTGTTAGGCCTCAATAGACCGATATACTATGATCATTCCAAAGCAAAGGACCGAAGATTATTTTAGAGTAAGCTGGATGGAGGTTACCTGAAAATTTGACCAAATAGCACCAATGGTATTAATCATTATATTTTACAATACTTAAAAATGTAATTTGTCTCTAATTTTACCACTAGGAATAATTTGATTGCTAATTTTATCTTTCATAGTGACTTAAATTTCCAGCAATTTAAAAATAATATATATTTTTACACAAACACTCAGGGGTTTAGAATAACACATTATCTAATAAAAACAGTTTACGGCTTGTGTTTTCAACGAGCCATCAGAACCTCTTGATGGCAGCTCACACTAATTATACACAGAAGATTTTTAAGGTAAATTCCAGCTGCCATATAAGGCAAGAGAAATAATAACAGCATCTACTATATACCAATAACTTAGCCAATTTAATCTTTATACGGTTGAGGAATATTATAATACCATTTAAAAAGATGAGAAAACCAAAGTACCACGAAGTTAAGTAACTCAATTTAAAGCCAAGTCAGGGTTATGATCAGAGACTGGCTTCAGTCTATGCTCTTAACCTCTACACATTCTGACTCCCTGGAAAAGCTTTAATTGCTGTCATTTATGCAGTTCTCTAATATATGATGCTCTTAAATCTAATTTGAAAGGCAAACTAAGCTACATTTGGATTCTCCATGTTGAAGATAAAAATGATCTAAGAGAAATTTGGTCTCTTGCAATAAAATCACGGCTAGTAACTGGAAAAAGCCCATTTGAACACAGAATTATAAAAACAAATTTAGTCATTTTACACATAAAATATAGTTTATTTGACAGTTTTCTCTTAAAGCCAACAAGATAGTGGCTCACAGGTTACAAAGTAGAGCTTTATAATGTCATATGACTATTGTCCAAAATTTGAAAGTAATAAAATTAAGTCCATGTAACTACCATACAATAGAAAACTTCGCTCCTGAGATATCTTCAACTGAAAATAATTAAGTTTTAAAGAAATAAAGGTTTTGGAGGAAAGTTATTTTGATCATGCGATTTATTTTCATAAAAAACCAAAATCTAGGCCGGGCGCGGTGGCTCCAGCCTGTAATCCCAGCACTTTGGGAGGCCAAGGCAGATGGATCACGAGGTCAAAAGATCGAGACCATTCTGGTCAATGTGGTGAAACCCCGTCTCTACTAAAAATACAAAAAATTAGCTGGGCATGGTGGCGGGTGCCTGTAATCCCAGCTACTCAGGAGGCTGAGGCAGGAGAATTGCCCGAACTCAGGAGGCGGAGGTTGCGGTGAGCCGAGATCAGGCCATTGCACTCCAGCCTGGGTGAAAAAGAGCGAAACTCCGTCTCAAAAACAAACAAACAAACAAACAAAAAAACAAAATCTAGACATGCACTCGCTATTCATCTTTTCCAGATCACTGACTCTAAGAAAATGGAGAGAGTAGGGACAGTGACATAGAACAGATTTTCTTGAGAAATTTCCTGCTCTGTTTAAACTCCACCTACCTTTACCTACCCGATTCCTAAATCACCCTGCCTTGTTAACTATATAAAACCTCCTCTGCTGCTGCTGTTATGCCACTTAGGATTTGAGATATTATTCTGTGTGGATCTGTGAAAGAATTTTTTCTTTTCTCTCTCTCTCTCTCTTTATTTTTATTTTTTCCTTTAGGGCCTCCATTTATTCTTCCTAATGTCTAAGGTCCCATTTTAGTGAGGTGTTATATTGCTTTTCCTGTGTTCTGTGACCATCTCTACAATGTATGGAATACTCATTCAATGTTACACTAAATAAAAGAACTGATGTTTCAACATACATCCTATAATTAGATTCCCAGACCTCCACTCACCTGGCTGGCTGTGCAGTTGGATAAGCAAGTCCTGTTATCAGCTGCCAGATAGAAGTTGGTGGGACATGCACAAGTGTGGGTTTTTCCAGGGGCTAAAAGGCACAAGTGACTGCAACCACCATTATTTATCATGCAGAGATGTTTAAAGACTACAGAAAAGAAAGAAACAACAACAACGAAACAGAATAATCAAGACTAATAATATAATATGGGATTAGAGATAGGACATTTAAGCTTCATAACTAGTATTGGAATAAATCTTTGTAATGAAGAACTCATCAAGACTATAAGTATAACTTTACTTTGTCACAAATGCTACTCATTGTCCAATGACACTAATTTTTCCATTCAATAATTTTAAAGGTACACTTCTACAAAACAAGGATTTTAGTAGGAAAAAAACTATCAGAAAAATAAATACTAGAAGCATTTTGGATGAAGACAAACATGTTCAGAAATACAAACATAAAATAAAACAATGAAAAAATGATCTACAACTACTGGTATAATGACTCTGCTTTGTAGGCCAGATAGGTTTTTTAAGGAAAATAATCAAACCTTTATGTCACAAGGCCAGATGAAATTTCTATTAAACATATGCTGAAGGAAACTTGATAGAGTTGTCAATTTTAACATGCTAGAGCTACTTAAACATAATTTCTCCCACTCAGCATTCCAGAAACTAGGGATCCTCTATTTTGTAAATAAATCATTTCAAGAATACAGTCTTCACTTCTCTGACTAAATGCATTATTGTCATTTTAGTTTAATATGATTTGAACAAATCCATAATACTTTGTCCTATTATTGAGCTTCTAATCATATGCCTTAATAGCAGTACTTGATATTGAATGAATTCTTCTCTAAAGTGATGCTAAATCATCAAATCTGGTAATCTTTGCCAAAAATAAAACTACATTTAACCTTGAAAGAATCAAAAATGGAATGTTACTGAAAGATGTTAATGCATTTATGGAAATCATGAAAAGAATAATTACCATCAGGTTGTCTATAAGAATGATACACCTGGATATCTGTGATGGCATGCCATGAGTTAATCAGTGAGAATCTGTCTGCTCCCGATGTTTTATGGGCACGGCTCAGTGACTTGGTTTTCCCATCAGTCCAGTAGATGTAGTCTTCAAACAATGTTAGTGCAATCACCCCTGGAATATCTTGATTAGGGACTGTAATAGGAGATGGTAAGATTAATGTTCAGTCTTGGAAGACTGCCAGTTTAAAATATTCAATACTACATGGGCTGACAGATACAACTGCTACAGAACTTCATGTGAATAATTGCTGTGACAACCTGTCAGGCCAGCAAAGTTCTTTATTACCAGTTAAGAGAATGCAGGATTGGGCACAGGAGCTAGCTTTGCACAGATTTAGCTTGGCTCAACCATTGGAAAAAGAAAAATAGAATGTGATTCTTTCATCATTAAAGCCTGCTTCACCAAAAAAACAAATACCATTCACCATTTTAAAACTCATAATTTATATTTACATATATATATTTGTGTGTGTATACACATACATATATACATATATATCTACTTCTTGTTCTTAACTTAAAATACTTAAATCTAAAGATCAATGCCCTACTTTTTCACATTTAAAATGATTAAATTATAGATCCATGTGTCTACTACCTGAAAATAAGGTGGCTATGAAACTACTATAAACCATTTCAGCCACTGAGCTTTTATGAGCATTTTTACTTGCAAGGTGAGCTGGGATGGGATAGTGAGAAGTCAGTGTGGCCGCTAATAATGTATTATGCAAATTCAATTGTCATAAAACTGTTTAGTTACAGATTAAAATTGTTTTATAATTATTCTTTCTGATGTTTAAATGCAAACAGTAGAGTAAGCACCATGAATGTGAATTATTCATTTGCAAGAGTCCAGGGTCCTATCCAGCAAGTAAGATATGGTAAATCTGTTCAGAGGTTTGGGCTTAAATAATTTTAAACAGTGATAGAGTTTTCTTTGTGTTTCTACTTCCTCAGGATAATAAATGAAGAAGATGAAAATTCCCTGGTTTATATAAGCATTCTATTTCTCTTAATTAATTTTCAGACATACCTTTAAAAATTCTGAGAAGACATTCATTAATGACAAAAGGTACTATATTTTCAGTAATATTACTTTTTTCTTAATTAGATTTTAATGACTGAAAATTAATGTTTGGCATAGTCCTCATTCAGTAGTCACTAAAATACTAACAAAATTTCAAATACAATTTACTCTTCATATGGAGCTTTACAGCCTTATTTTTTAAATGCTGGGGTAAATTTATATTATCAACTAAAGTAGATATTTTAAATCTTTTAATTTGCTATTTGTAATCTTTTAGTCCAAATGTTAACAGATAATTCACTAAAACTGAGAGACATCAAAATAAAATTAGAAACCTCCAAATAAATCATCTATTAAGTCATTGAGTACTATTGATAATATGAAATCTAGCCAGCAATTCAGCTCAGAATAGATACTATGCATATGAAGGATGTAAACATTTTTTAAAATCCAGATTTGTATACTTTAGCTGTTTTGAATTTTGATGTAAAAATTTAGATGTGCATACAATTTAATTATCTATGTACTCTTGCAGACATGGATACCATTTCTAAAATGATAAGTGAAATTAAATAGAATGAAAAGAAGGACATTTTACCATAACAAATTATGTGTGAGCTATTTATACAAACTATTCTCACCATTTTTCTTTTAATGTATAATTTCATACAAAAAAGATAAAATAAATGTTAAAAAATGTTAGTAATTCACTAAATGTTGGTGATGGGTGATTATTATAAAAGCCCTTCACCTTATATGCAGGTTTCAAGGTTTTTAGAATAAAATAAAAATTTATGGAAAATGATGAAAGACTCAGAAACATTTAATGTGAATTTCCTTAGAAGTAAAGTTAATAGCTATATCATTAAATATGGGCTCAAAAAGTTAATCATCATTTTTCATGTTCTCAACCCACAAGAGATTCAATTTACTTCTGTAAGAAAAATAAAGTTATTGTAACAATCTGCCAATTAGCACTTCAAAAATAAGTTTTTAAAATTATTCTGCAGTAACTATAGGTGATATTTATTAAGCATTTGGATATACTAGAACTAGGCCAGTGGGAGAGGCAATTTATATGTTTTAATTTATTTTATTTAATACTCTCAAAAACTCTATTATGCAGTAGTAGTGATATGAATTGTCTCTGTGTCTCCACCTAAATCTCATGTTGAATTGTAATCCCCAGTGTTTGAGGGGGCAGAGAACCTGGTGGGAACCTGGTGATTGGATTATGGGGGCAGATTTCTCCCTTGCTATTCCCCTGCTAGTGAGCTCTCGTAAGATCTGGTTGTTTAAAAGTATGCAGCACTTCCCCCATACTCTCTCTTTCCTGTTGCCATGTGAAGACATGTTTGCTTCCTTCTTGCCCTTCTGCCATGATTGTAAGTTTTCTCAGGCCTCCCCAGCCTATGGAACTGTAGGTCAATTAAACCTTTTTGTCTTCATAAATTACCCAGTTTCAGTTCTTTGTGGCATTGTAAGAATGGAGTAAAACAAGTAAAGTCCATTTTGTGGATGAGAAATGTAAGATGCTTTTAAGATGGAAAGTTTAAGTAACTTGGCAAGAGAGAGGTAGAAAAAAATAGTAAATAAAAGTTCTGGTATTTGAATCTCAGCTCTCTCCAGAGTGTGCTCTCTGGCCGTGTGATGCCCTGAGAGCATTGGTGTGACAATGGTGAGTGTCATCCCATGGTGGATGCCAGTGCCATGCTCTTGGATTTTCTGGCCTCCAGAACCATCAGCCAACCAAACTTATTTTCTTTGTAAATTACTAAATCTGTAGTATTTTGTTATGGCAACAAAAACCGACTAAGACAGGAGGTACATGGAGCTAATAAAATATAAACATGAATTTGAAGGTTTGAGAGGAACATTTAACAAACAAACTCCTAACTAATGCTGAGATGTGGTTAAGTTCAGGGGAAAAGTAGTTGATGTTGCCTAAAATGATGATGGCTATCATTTTTAAGAAAAAAAAGTTATATGACCAGTTCTCTATATAAAACTGCATTTACTTAGTTAATAGAAAATGTGAAAATTAAATTCAAGAAGTCTTTCATTTATAGGTAGTCAGTAGACACACAAAAAAGAAAAAAACAGAGCTGCTGTGTGTGTACTGTAGTTTCACAGGTACTTATTATACATTTAAAGCCCATTTTTAAAGCGACTCACTATAGTTAAGTCTCTATTCTGTGTAATAACATTATATATTGTACTGTTTCCAGCATTCTCAACCACTATGCTCTTAATTTTCATTTCATAGACTATACCTTTCAGAAGAAAAGAATTGGTATTTGACAAAAATAAATAAATTGAGGAAATACTCCTTTTTGGAGTTTTTACCTTTGAGACAAGTTGAATGCTATCCTACAAAAGCTCAGCATGATTATGAGAAACAGAAAAGGTGGCCATTGCTTGAACCTTGGAGGTGGCAGTTGCAGTGAGCCTAGATTGCACCACTGCACTCTAGCCTGAGCGACAGAGCAAGATTCTGTTTGTGTGTGTGTGTGTGTGTGTGTGTGTGTGTGTGTGTGTTTTTAAAGACAAAAGATAAAAGAAAAGGTGGACATCCAAAAGATGCTTTTGGCTTAACTGTTGCCTCATAGCTAGATATATTCTATTACAATACTCTTGATTATTCATTTTTTAGATAGATTTATCATGCTTAACAAGTATATTTCTGGGTAATATCATTCTAATTTTGTATTTCTGACATCTCGTTTGAATACTTAAGAAATCAAATGCCCTAGTTACACAGTTCTCAGCTTTTGTAGAGTTAAAATTTCTTATGGGAGGATACAGCATTAGAATATTGTTAGCTTTGACTTGGCTTTCTGTACTGAGTTTAGTACATCAATAGACATTTCACTAGTAATACTATTTCTATTCTCTATCTTTTATTATTTTCCATTTTCTATCTTCTCAAATTTAGGAGTCTAAATGCTATTTTAAAATATTACTTTATGCCCAGGAATCACTGTAATTTATTATTTAAAAATTACTCTAGGCCTGGTGCAGTGGCTCATGCCTATAATCCCAGCACTTTGGGAGGCCAAGGCAAGTGAGTCATCTGAAGTCAGGATTTCAAGACTAGCCGGACCAACATGGAGAAACCCCATCTCTACTAAAAATACCAAAATAGCCAGATGTGGTGGGGGGCATCTGTAATCCCAACTACTTGGGAGGCTGAGGCAGGAGAATTGCTTGAACCCAGAAGACAGAGGTTGTAGCAGTGAGTCGGGATACTGCCATTGCACTCCAGCCTGGGCAACAGGGTGAGACTCCGTCTCAAAAAAAAAAAAAAGACTATAAAGTCTTTACTAATATTTTTAGAAGTAAAAAACGAGGTATAAAATGCAATCATCAAATTCTGTTATTAATTTATGAAGGAATCAAGATTACAGAGTAACTTGAGCTTAGAATTGATTTATTTGAGTTATAAAGAGTTTATATATTGAGTAGAAAGAAATATCTAAACAATCAGTGCTCCATTAATGTCAACTTGTCCTTCACTCTATGACTATGTTTGGAAAGGTAGTCCAGTAAAACTTTAAAGCTTATAAACATATCAAATCAAACATTAAATCCTACTTTTTAAAAAATATATTTTAAGACACTCATTTTTTAAAAGAATTCTTGGTGCCATTATCCCAAGTAAAGGCTCATATCTCCTCATACCTGGGATATTGCAAAAATTATTTTAAATTGTCACCTTACTTTCAATCCCTTTCAATCTCTTTTATATCAGTCAGAATAGCTGCAGAAAACAAAAAACATATCTTTAAATAATAATTGTAAAGGGTTTAATAAAGAATTATTTATAGAGATAGGCTTGCTAAGGTACAAATGATGCATTGCTTTTTACTAGGTCTGTTACCAGAAGCTAGTGAAAATTTCAGCTGAGAGGAATAAAGCCATCCAACAAGTGCAGAGGCCTTTAGTAGATAGGTTCGTGCAATGCTAAATCATTATAGGTGAGCATGGATGGAAAGAGGATGAATAAATACTATAACTTCTTTTTCTGTCCACTATCTAATGTCCTTGCAATGCAATTCAAGGAGGAAATCCAACTTAAGATGGGAAGGTAGAAGAGCTTTGGTGAG